TGAAGAGGCACCTGCTAGGCTTCCCGTCAAAACTCCACCTTCGTGGATGCCGGGTCCACCTGCCACTATCAACCTTGGCTGATTGCTCTATTTCCCATAACCTCTCCAAAAAGAATCCTGCAGTGCTCCCATCCCACACACCCTTGCCCCTTGCTCCCTCATCCACCTTTCAGTGTCCTCTTGTCATCACTGTGGAAACCGGAGCTGCAGATTCCATGCAATGTGGATGTTCTAACTAAGCTTTCCTGTAGGGTGCTGTCTTAACTGGGTTTTTCTAGGGAGCAGGAAGCAGGTAAATGAGAGCTTTCCTTGTTTCAAATCTACAAAGTTCTAATGCAGATCCAAACTTCTGAGCTTCCTCAACTTCTTGAACAACTCAGTCTAGTAATGATAACTTTTGAATGGTAGCTTATGCTTGTAAACAAGGATGCACAATTCAAAATTATTTACATGTGAGTATAGTGTAGGCCAGGAATATAGCTCAGCAGAATTGTGCCTGCCTGGCAAGCGTGAGGTCCCAAGATCGATTCCCAGCACCAAAAAAAAAAAAAAAAAAAGATGTTAACAAAAGCCACTAAATTATACTTTGTGCTAAGCAGGTAAATTGTATAGTATGTGAATCCTATGTCAAAAAAGCTATTCTGCCAGGTGTGGTGGCACACACCTGTAATCCCAGCACTTGGGAGGCTGAGGCAGGAAGATTGTCCTGAGTCTGAGACCAGCCTGGGATACAAAGTGAGTTCATGGCCAGCCTGAACTGCATAACGAGATCCTGTCTCAAAAAGGAAGAAAAAAAATGCATTTAGTGTAAGTAGAATTCAAACTTCTGGACTATTTTTAAACTGACTTGTTTTAGAGAGAATGGGTCCTGGTTTAAATTGTATAGATTCATTTTCTCTGAAATATCTAAAATCTTAAAAGGGGTAAAAGCTGATTTTTTTTTCCTCTCTAAATCACAAAATCTAAAATCATAGCACATTAAAGAGGATAGTAGAAAGGTCTGGATCTTCTCGCTTGTACAATGAGGGAGTCATATAACTCATAAGGCCAACCTTGGTAAAATTCATACCCCTCTTACTAATAGGGGATGATTCTATTGTGAGTGTCCTGTGTGTCCAGCACTACACAAAGCAGTGCACACGTCTGCTCTCTAAACTCTAACTGCTGCTCTGTGAGGTAGAAAATATTACAATCCACACGTTGACACTGAGGAAACTGAGGTTAGGACACATTGAGCAACTTGCCTACGATCAGATCTGAATTTGAAAGGCAAAAGTGAAGAAGAAAAAAAAGACGTACAAACAAATGAAAATCTCCAATCTCCAGATGTTGTGGAACAGTGAAAGCATCTTGGGCATGAAAAATGAGAAAATTCAGTGGTGGTAAATGTACCATCCCATTTTCCATCCTTCCACTTTTCCTCTGTCCTGTCTAACACAGAACAAAGCCAAGGTCCAGAAAAGGGTGGGAAGCAGTCTCCTGTCTTCCCAGCTCCCTAGCTGAGGTGAAGGAAGTAGCTCTCTCTCCACTGTCTACCTAACCGGAGTTGTCTCATAATTTCTACCACCACAGCCTGGTAATGTAAGAATGCAAAATAAAATCAAGCACATATAGTTGCTTCTTTAATGTCATTAATCAATCTAAGGGCCGTGATAGGTCAGTTCTTTATCTGACTGTCAAGTTAAAAGGGGAGGGTTTATCCTTGATGTTGACACTATATACACCATTAATAGTTTTAAAAAAATCCCCACCCACCTAGCCCCAGACCCTAGAGACCCCCAGACCTCCTCAGGATCGGGCAGCAGAAGTGTTAATGTTTGGCCTGAGGTAACAAGGTGTGCACAGGGCTCTGCTTCCCCTTAGCCTCCTGCTGTCTTTGTGATTGCTTAGTGCCTGTATGAAAGCTTTGATCATCACCCTTAGAGCATGCCACAGCCTCACCATGACTTTCTGAGGAAGAAATTACACATGGCACGGCACCCTTTGGCCGATATCTCCCATTGCATGCAGTGATCGAGACAAGAAGACTGGTGATTGTGGTGTTTTCATCACTTGAGGAACAACAAATACTCTCACAATCTGAAATATCCAAACATCATTTCTGAATGTCCCATTATGTATTGTTTTCTAATGGGACACTAAGAATCTGTTTTGTGGTTTTGCCTACCATCCCTCTTATAAACCAAAAAGCAGGGTTCTCTATGTTTTAAGCGAAACTGGATACATAAAGAGCTTTAAATTTTTTCTAGCATTTGCTTTCTACCTACACAAGCAGACCGGGACATACCCTTGGGCAGGGAGCAGCAGGTGATTGATTCCCCAAGTCAGAGCCAAAGGGAAAGACAAAACTGTTTCCTGGACTCCATGACACAAAATCACACTCTCAAAAAAATCTCTTTCCTCTCCTCTTTTAAGCAGGTGCAAATTTTTTAAAAATGTTTTTCATTTACAGTCAACTGAGAAGAAATATATAAATACAAGTTAATCCAGCCTGAGCAACAGAAACACTTCATAAAATATCCCAGAAGTTCTAAAAAGACTATCCATGATTATGTCATAGAATGAATTTTTCAGCATACAAACAGGAAGCTGGTCATATATGTGTCATTATCACAGTTTTGCCCAGGAAGCAACAAAGGTTCAGAGAGAAGTAATTTCCCTAAGTTCACACAGCAGACGGGCAGGAGACCCTGCAGGTGAGAAAGATCTGCGACTCAAGCTCTAGTTCTCGTTGCTTTCAATGCACAACCTCAGAGAGGTGCAGTAACAATAGTGAGACCAACCTGGCTTGACCGAAAAAAGGCAAATAGGAACTAGAAAGATTGAGGCAATGACAGGAGGGGAGGATAAAGGCAGTCTAAGAAAATCTACACCCCTCTTAGTCCAGAGATCCTGGAGAACAAGGGATCTAAGTCAGCTACAAGAGCGTTCATCAAGGTCCAGGTGACCTGGGTCCAGCCTCTTTACAAAGGCCTGAGCTTCCACGGGCTGTCTTCTTAGTGTCCACATTCTCCCCTGGGGCTTCTTCAGAAACTTGCCGCTGCAACTCTCAGAGGCAGTTGTTCATCTCACCTTCACTGTCTTCCCATGGTGTCCGACTATTTTTCTCAGTGCATCACTCATAAGCTCTCTCTCTTTGGAGTTTTTGATCATTTTTTTTCTCTTTTACCTAGCATGGGAGGTCTGTAACAGCAGGGATTTTATCTGTTCATTACCCCAGGATGTAGTTAGTCCAGGAATAGTACTAATAAGTAGGTAAGAATATTTGTTACATAAATGCACATAATACAAATCATCTACCCTAATATCTCAATACGTATTTTCATAGCAGACTTTCATTCTCTAAGTGGCATTGGCTATTTTCTCCCAAAAGTGTATTATGCAGAATTCTTCAAACCGTAGTCACCACTGTAAAGAAATCCAGAGCTCATGCTGAACCTCTTTTTTCCTTCTGAAAAGTGTTTCTTCTCTCTTCTCTGCCTTTCCCTCTTTCTCAGTAAATCCTTCATCAAATCAGTTAACTTTGTAAGATCTCAAAATGGCAAGAGTTTTACTTGTCAAATTGCATTTTCTTTCTCCCCCACCCCTGGAGACAATGTATTTAGTGTATTGTTTAGATTCTATTCCATTCACAAAATATCCGGTCCAATTACACTGGGACAGAAAGGGGAAAAGTGCAAAGTCCATAGTAGGAAGATGCATGTTTACATCTTTGCCAACAGCATTAAATAATTGGCATGAGCTTTCAAGGAAGCTGGAGCTTATACTCCAAGTTCCGTTTGTGCGTCCAACTGGACAAAATATAGATACAGAGGCACTCAGCTAAGTAATTGGATTCACTACCTGGAATATTTAAATTGTTTTCAGACACTGGAAATTGGCTTAAGAAGATTAAAGAAAAATACCCTGGAGGATAACAGGCTATAATTTACTAGGTGGAAAAGCTTTTCAGCAAAAAGAATGCCTCATTCTCCTATAATTCCCTTTGATTAAGAGATATACTAGTCATTTGGACCCAAATTTCCTTCGATCCTGACATCTCCTCGGGTTCATTACAGCAAGTTGTTCTTATCAAAAACCCTTTGAATGGCACTCTGGACCTAACACTGGTATCATAACGTGCATCCTCAAATTTGTGTATTATCGGCCGGATTTCTGAATTTAATATTTAAAGGGCAGCCTGGGGTGGAAGAGGGAGAGGATCTGCATGTGAAGCACTGGGGCTGGACTAGGCTTTACCCTATCTGGCAGAATGTGCAGGTAAATCGTGGGTACACGTCTTGAAGTGTCTGTTTCAAACTGAAGAGGACAGCCAGCTCACTCCTCAAAAGCTAGCCCTCCCCACCTGTCTGCAGGCCCACTGAGCCGTCCTAGACCCTTCAAGCCCCCCACCCCACCTCCGGTCTGCTCCCTGGCTCTCCCCAGGTGTGTCCTCCCCAGTCCTTCTCTGGGTCCCTCACACGGAGCCAGGCGCTAAAGTTTGGCATCCGAGACCACCTGTCGCTGGACCGCTGCGTCCTCTGCCGCGTGGCTGTAGGAAAAGCGCTGAGTGCGTGCGGTGATGAACAGTTTTGGACTTGGGGGGATCGGTCTTTCTTGAAATGGAGGGAAAGAGGTGGTCCTATCGATGCGCCTGCAGGCAGAGGGACGCTTTCGGTTCCTACCCAGCGCGTGACAGCCGGTCTGAACTTCACACTCCCCACTTGACAAACTCACTCAGGACCAGTCCTCAGGCCAAGCCCGCTCCTCCTTTCCCAGGGGTCCAAGAGACTGGAGACTGTCAAGGGGTGCGGGGTCGGAGCCAGACACGCTGTACACCCTACCCCTGAGGACACCGGGGCGCGCGCGAAGCTTCTGCACTCCGCCACCCACCTCACCCTGCCCATGCCCACCTTGCGCCCCAGGCCGCCCATTGCATAACGCGCCCCTCGCCCCACCCCCACGCGGCCTGCCCCGCCGTGCCCGGGCCAGCACCCCGCGCCGGCCGCCCCGGGACTTACATCATCCCACTTGACGAATTTGGTGCCCTTCTTGAGGCTGTCGGACACGCACACGGGCTTGAGTTGCAAGGCGTGCACGCCGGGCTGAGCCCCAGCCATCTGGGCTCATCGGGGCTCCGGGCGGCCCGGGCGAGCGCGGCAGGGTCGGGGCGC